ACCGTCCTGTTAAAAACGTTTAAAAGACTTATTGTTATTGCTTACTCCTAAATATGTAAAAATTGGGAAACTAATATATTTCAAAAGGAAAAAAAAACGATATTCTCCTAATGATTTTTGGGTAATCGAGTTTCAACTACCTCGATGTTCTCAAAGTTGTCTAAATGAAAATCCAAACATGTTTTACTGTGACAAAACGCTTTCATATTATTTCATGTTCTTTTGTAAAACTAAAATTTAACATTATAGCTATGGTAATAAAAATATATTATCACTTCAGGACTTAAGTTCATGTGAAGGGCGTTTTATACATTCACCCCAATGGATAATCTATTGTTGCAATTCATTCTTTCTGTCTGATTTAACTAGGCCTAGGCATATTGAATTAGAAAGAAAAAAAAAAGATGGATCAATGCTTTAGTATCCTTTCTCTTACCACAGATTAGTGAAACAAACCATAAAGATACCAGAAAAGAAACATTTTTCTTATCCAAACCACATAGAAAGCAACTTTTTTTTTTCTCTTACTTATTACTTAACGATACAAAATTTTCGTCTCTCGTCAAGACGTCTTTTAAAACCTTCTTAAACTGGAGGAATCATATTAATAAATAGAGAAAAACTAATTATTTTCTTTCATAACGGACATTAGAGTATAAAGTAGTCGTTTTATCTAGTTTTATAACAATTATTAAATCATAACGGTAAGTTCTAAGAGCTCAACAAAAGAATTAGGAATTAGAATTAATTTAGTGTAAGCAATGGCAGGGAATAATTGATATGTTTAACTAAAGTCTAGACTTGCCCTTGTTCCTTTTTCAGGTTCCGAAATTTTCTGTTGGTGGTACTATTGTGCGTTTTTTTTTTAAAGATTAAGCTGAATGTAAAGGCTACTTTGGTGATACGTCATCACAACCTATAACTTTTTAGAGCAAAAGACTCAAAGGAGCGACCTGACTTCTCTCGAAGTACTTGGACAATGACAGGACATTCTCCTCCTCTTTGACTATTATGGCTACTGCATATCAACAGCACGCATGTGCAGAAGATGTTGTTCTGTTAACCTGCAGTATCCTCGCAACATGGCCGACAAACCATGTAGTTAGATAGAGGCCGATCAATAAATCTCCTGCTTCATCAGGATGTCTCGTACACAAGCGTCTTCAGAGCACTATAAACTGGCATTTTAAATAAAACAAAATCTAGTTACTCAGAACTCAAAACTTCATACATTTTAATAGTTGTCTGTACTGACTGTTCAACAGCAAGGTGAAGTAGTTTCATTAAGTGAAAATTTAATAGAATTTGTCTTTTCAAAAACATCAATTACTCTCATGGAGGGTTATTGTACTTTACTGTGAAATATATTACTAAAATATTCCAAACATGTTTAAATGTTTTAATTTTGTGATCAACAGTTGAGCTTATCGCTTTCACTACAATATTTGACCATCACACACACACACACATATATACGTATATATTCTAAATGTCTTAATGAAATACTGTATTATCAGTAACCGGTTTCGTAACGTGTCACCCTTGAAATATATATTATTACAATAAATATTGTTACTTTCACAAAGACATGAAAACGGTTACTAATTGTATGACATTTCTTTACGACACTTCTAACAAAATTAGTATACGAATGAGAGCTTTTGTTTTTATTATCATATATATATATATATATATATATATTAAACATGTAATTTAAATTCACTATACTAGTAGATTTGCTTAATTTATATACATTATTTACACTATTACTCTGTGGCTATTTACCGGTTTTTTATTCTTCAGTTTCTGTAAGCCATCAAACCGTCACCAAAGGAATAAATAAAATTTAGATATTTTTTGTGAGTTTTGAAATGCAGTTCAATATCTAAGAGAACATAAAAATATATAGAAGATGCCTGTCTCACCTAGCTTGGTTATTACTACGAACTTCAGCTTCTAATGGCCTTTCTTAGTGATGCCATCTCTTCCTGAGGAAATCAGAATGCCCATATAACTTCGAAAGAACACGAAAAAAAATATTAAAGTGTCTTATTTTTTGTGGTGTAGCTGACGGCGTTGTTGTAGTGATTCTCTTGAGAAGATGCCAAGCTCGGTCGATAGGCGTCTGAAGAAATGTTAACGAACCTTTTTAGCCGTGTGTATTGTTTAGTTTAGTTGAAAAAGTATTTAGTTTAAGAATAAAATTCAAATCGTCTTGGAAAATGTGTATAAGCAGAAGGAAAAATACGAAGTTGATCGCTAACACGTCTGATGAACAAGGCTCACCGCGGCCAGAGAGAAGATAACGTGTGGGGAGCGCAGCTGCTACGCTTTCAAATACTAATCTTCAGAGCAGTCGCGTCGTCTTTTCCGTCTGTGTTCGCGGCTTGGGATAATGGTTACCATGGAAACGCTTTTATTATTTTAACACTCATCACACGCGTGTTCGAATGCACATGTTCCCACGCGTCAGAAGAGGAAAATCACACAGGAATTGACTTGCCAACCAGCGATGAGATCTTGATCCTGTTTGGAACAACCACCTAAACTACAGATTTAGCAAGCTTGTGATTAGAACAGTAAAGATCTTCAGAAGTTTGAATATAAATAAAGGGATTAGTTATGATGGTGAATTCAAAAATTTAGCTATTCAAAAACACAACGAATCCCCAATGCATTTTCAATATATATATATATATAAAGCTCCCCCCCTGAAATTATATTCTGTATTCTAGTGTTTGTTTAGATTATATCGCTTTTATATGCTTGAAAAATGAAATAATCCTATGCACTTGGGTCTCGATGGCTAATTATGTAGCTTGAAAAATAACACACTGTTTGGTATTTGGCATTAATACTTTATCACAAAATTCTGTTTACCCACTAATGGATGAATCTAATTGTGTAGCTTACTGAACGTATCTTACACAAAACTTTTCTTAAACACTTCGGCTGCCAATAAGTTCAAAAGAAATAAATTATCTCACAGTCTTCCCTAGAAATAAATAATGACGACTAACATCTAACCACTTCTACAGAAGTTGTTAGCGTTGTCAGCCATGTTTAGGCTTACACTTAATCAAACCGGGCTACAAAATAGCTAAGTAAAGTACAAAAGGTGAATTTTTGAAACCTCAGTGACACGTGGAGATATAAATAAAAGGCTTAACCTCAGATATCAGACTCTCATTTATAGTATAACTTACACCTAATACTTAATTTGCCACGTTTTAGTTTAATGTCTTGAACATTAATCGTCCGAATTATTGAGAGTAGGAGTTACATTGACGTTGTATATATATCTCATTATAATCAAATACAGAGTATTTCACTAATTTCCATCTTTTCGCCAAGGTTAGCCATAACATCTGTCAGAGTTTAATACTTACTTTGTTATACTTTATTTGATCATGTGAAAGGTAATGTACAGTGAACACTGCCTGCTGACAAAGAAAAAAATAAAATTAGCTAGAATATCATCCTATATTAATTCAGCTTGTAGCTATGTGTATATAATTATGTGTCCAGCTATCTCCTCCCACAGTTTTGGCAAGCGGACTAACGATACAGGGGTGTTCTTGTTTATATTGTGTAGCCCTTTTACGAAGGAGGGCTTAAACGCACCTGAAAGGTCATCCGGGCATGATGGAGGTCTAAGAATAGGTCTTCAGGGTCACTGAAGCAGAACCTGGCATCAGATTTTGTGTTCTTGGCCCCCTCGGTATCTCCGGGATGGCATGTTCAGCTTCGTATGCACTTCTCTATCTTTGTACAGCTAACTCCTTCTACTCTTCTAGGACTAGCAAGAACAAACTTGGCAGGCGGACTCAGGGTGATGCAGATGTCCTTATTTATATTGCATAGCTCCCTCTTACAACGGAGTCACGCGCAGAGAATGTTTTCTATGCATTATGAAGTATAAAGGTAAATTTTACAGGATCGTTGAACCTGAACCTGACATTCAATTTTGTGTTCTTGCTCCACCCTCCCCCCCCCCCTTGTGATCCCGTGCATGACGTGTTTGAAACTGTGTTCATACCCCTTACTCACAAGCTTAGCAGGACCTAACTTAGCACACATGCTCTGATGCCACGGGCGGGTGTAGTAACGGTTTTTCTTCGGGTACAGATCCTACCTGGGGAAGCTATAGAAGCAATTGGAGATAATGGAGAAGCAAGTTGATCGATACATTGAGGCCTTTGTGAATCATAAGGAAGCCACTGAACCCCGCTTCGAAGCGCGGGTATTTTATGCTGGTTTATCTTAATGTACTTATAACTATTTTAAGGGTGCACGCTGTTTTTGAAGTTCGATTTTTTTACTACCAGGCCTCAACTTACACTTCTTCAGGACAAATATGATCTATTTAACCAAACAGATAGTATTTCGCTTTTTGCATGTTGTTTTTAGATTTTTAAGATTGTAAATAGTCTTCCAGTACCGACTTTATGTTTTAATGTAAAACATGTACCCCTGATCTGGTTATAAGTACAAAATGGCGGCGTTTTTTGTAAATAGATGGTGTTCTCCTTGTCTGAAAATACTTAGCGGTGTCCTCCAGGAAGATTGGCAAGAATGTTTTACGCATTAGAAAGTATGTTCTGTTCAACATTTTAATAGTCTTTTAGCTATACATTTAAATCTGGTCACAAACTGTTTGTCATATTGTGACTTAAAACTGTGAATAAATATTATTTCGCTTTAAAGTTTCTTCAGGTTTTGTTATTTTGTTTGAAAGTTAGTTAATGTTAGGTTTTTGCTTTAGATTGTCTTATAGTTTTCTTCCTGAAAACAAATGATGATAGTATAGTTTTTTCTAATTACGATTGTTTCTACTTTAGGATTTGTAGTATAATGTACCTCTGAAATTTGTATTATGGTTAAAAATTTCTGGTTACGTTCAGCTTTAGAATCATTGGTAGTTTCAATACGAACATTAAGTTTCTGCTTTAGGTTCTTTGGTATATAATGTGTTATACTTGTGTATTATTAATGTTCCGGTTTTAAATCATAGCATCTGGAATGGGCGTTGCCTAATTGTTAAGTGGCCAGACTATAAATCCAAAAGGTTTTTTATTTGCTTTCAGTCACCGCAAAAACGCGCTCCGCAGTTTGGGGACCATGGTTACCTATAAGAGTGACGATAAACTCCCACTATTCGATCAGACAAGAGTAGTCCAAGAGTTGGTGGTGAGTGCTGTTGACTAGCTGACTTATTTCTATTCTAGGCCCGGCATGGCCCGGTGGTTAAGGCACTCGACTCCCAATCTGAGGGTCGCGGGTTCGAGTCCCCGTCACACCAAACATGCTCGCCCTTTCAGCCGTGGGGGCGTTATAATGTGACGGTCAATCCCACTATTCGTTGGTAAAAGAGTAGCCCAAGAGTTGGCGGTGGGTGGTGATGACTAGCTGCCTTCCCTCTAGTTTTACACTGTTAAATTAGAGACGGCTAGCGCAGATAGCCCTCGTGTAGCTTTGCGCGAAATTCAAAACAAACAAGCAAACAATTTCTAGTCTATCAATGCAAAAATTAGGGATAGCTATGCATGGGTAGCTCTTGTGTAGATTTCGCGAAAATTCTAAAAACAACACAAAAAATTAAGCAAGTTTAACAACTTACTTTGTTCTATCTATGAATGTTCGATGCATGTAAAGGAATTCTGGTTGAAATTATTTGACAATGTTCTATTCACATAATAGATATCTTGTTGAGAACACGTACTTTTTCAAATGGTGGTACTAGAGGTCATGCTCCTCACTGGCTCAGAGATTAGTCTGAATACTTATAACGCTAAAAACCGGGTTTCGATACCCGTGGTGGGTACAGAACAGATAGCCTATTGTGTAACTTTGCACTTAACAACAACAAACAAACTACAAGTCATATACATACGAGCTCATTCTTTCCCTAACCAATTACGTAAAGGACATTAAACCATAGCAGAACAACAGTCATTACTCAGCATAGTTGACCTTCCATGACTTTGTTGCAGTGTACAAACTAGTTGTCTGATAACCTCACCACATGAAACGTACATTAACGTAATGACATATCGATTTCTTTTTCACAATTGTACTCGATGTAATCTTCCAGTAAATGTTCGCGCTTTTACTTTTTAGTGCACTCTTGGCTGTGTAGTACATATATAGAGTAGTAATCTACTTTATAGGAACGGTTTCCATATCCTTGTGCAGTAACGTGTTGCTTTAGATGCGAGTCAATATGTTTAGCACCTATATATCTGACAGTGCAAGTCTACCATGAATAAACTTATGTCTAGAAAAATGCGTCACAGCCCTCTTCAGGGGGGGGGGGGTATTAGTTTAGAAAGGTTGGTAATATACAATAAAAGGACGCCAAATTTTTAAGGTAGCCTTCACTGTTCACCATGGAAGCGGATAAACTCACAAATAGGACTGCAATGGCACTATCGAACAGTGGTAGATAACCATGACCATCAGATTGGCAGTAGAGAATGTTTATGGAAGCACATTATGTTAATATAATAGTAAACTGACAAACAACGATTTATAAGCATAACGAAGTGGTATATTTTGGGAGATCATACTAGACTCACTATCTGAGGGTCGTGGGTTCGAATCCCCATCCCACCATACTTGCTCGCCCTTTCAGCCGTGGGGGCGTTTTAATGTGAAGGTTAATACCATTATTCGTTGGTAAATGATTAACCCAAGAGTTGGCGGTGAGTGGTGATGACTAGCTGCCTTCCCTTTAGTCTTTCACTGCTAAATTAGGGACGGCTAGCGCAGATAACCCTTGTGTAGCTTTGCGCGAAATTTAAAACAAACAAACAAACAAATCTTCTGAAGAAATAACGATAGTTAGGAATAATACAGAAAACATACTAAATGAATAAACTAATCCGTGAACAATTATTCAACTTTAACTCTGCACTGCTTGTTGTATGTCAGGGTATATAAGAATCCTAAATTTATACTTGATCAATTATATAGAACAGAAATATGTTATTATTCACGTTTTATATTGATAAACATTCCAATATTAACACTTGTCATAAGAAGTGAATTTCAATTTTATATGTTATTGCGCATTTCTGAAAAGATATTCGTAAAGCGGACTTGCAAGCAGGCTTATATAGAAGATGCGCTCCACCAGTCAAATACTTAGAAAACGAGAAACTCGCGCATATATCATTGTTATCACTATGCTTGAAAGCAACCTCACCTAATTGATCCTCCGGCAATAGTTATTATGTGATATAATAGTCAATCCGCGGAATGTAGCTCTGGAGGTTATTCTATAACTGGTTTTGTAATGATAAAAAAGTATAAAACTT